GTCTTTCTGGGTCTGGTTACCTCACTCAGTATGATGTTTTCTAGATCCATCCACTTCCCCACAAATTTCAAGTTGTCATTATCCCCCCCCCACTGTGTAGTACTCCATTGTGTAAATGTACCTCGTTTTTCTTATCCATTCTTGATTAGATGGGCATTTAGATTGTTTCCGGGTACTGGCTATGACAAATAATGCTGCTATGAACATAGTTGAGCACATGTCCTTGTGGTATGATTGAGCATCCTTTGGAAATATACCCAAAAGTGGTATTGCTGGATCCTGAGGTAGCTGTTTCCCAATTTTCTGAGAAATCGCCATCCTGATATCCTGTACCAGTTTTCACTCCCACCAGAAATGCAGGAGTGTTCCCTTTACCCCACTTCTTCTCCAGCATAAATTGTCATCAGTATTTTTGACCTTGGCCATTCTTATGAGTGTAAGATGGAATCTAAGAGTTGTTTTGATTTGCATTTCTCTGATGGCTAAGGATGTTGAGCATTTTCTTAAATGTCTTTCAGTCATTTTAGATTCATTTCTGAGAGTTTTCTTTTTAGGTCTGTACCCCATGTTTTTACTGGATTATTTGTTCTTTTGATGACCAATTTCTTGAGTTCTTTGTATATTTTGGAGATCAGTCCTCTGTCTGATGTGGGATTGATGAAGATCTTTTCCCATTCCGTAGGCTGCTGTTTTGTCTTGTTGACTGTGTCCTTTGCTTTACAGAAGCGTCTCAGTTTCAGGAGGCCCCACTGATTAATGTTTCTCTCGGTGCTGAGATTTGTTTGTTTGGTTGGCTGGTTGGTTTGGTTTGGTTTGGTTTAGTTTTGGTTTTTCAAGATAGGGTTTCTCTGTAGCTTTGAAGCCTGTCCTGGAACTAGCTCTTGTAGATCAGGCTGGTCTTGAACTCACAGAGACCACCTGCCTTTGCCTCCTGGGTGCTGGGATTAAAGGTGTGTACTACTGCCGCCCGGCATTACTGGGGTTATATGTAGGAAGTGGTTCCCTGTGACAATGTCTTCAAGTGTACTTCCCAATTTCTCTTCTGTGAGGTTCAGTGTGGTTGGTTCTATGTTGAGGTCTTTGATCAATTTGAACTTAAGTTTTGTGCATGGCAATAAATATGGATCTATTTTCATTCTCCTACGTGTTGATATCCAGTTATGCCAGCACCATTTGATGAATATGCTTTCATTTTTCCATTTTATATTTTTTGCTTCTTTGTCAAAAATCAGGTGTTCGAAGATGTGTGGATTGATATCCAGGTCTTCGATTAGGTTCCATTGATCCTCCTGTCTGTTTTTAAGCCAATACCAGGCTGTTCTCAGTACTGTAGCTCTGTAGTAGAGTTTGAACTCAGGGATTGTGATGCCTCCAGAAGTTCCTTTACGGTACAGGATGGTTTTGGCTATTCTGGGTCTTTTTGCTTTTCCATATGAAGTTGAGTACTATTCTTTCAAGGTCTGTGAAGAATTTTGCTGGGATTTTGATGGGTATTGCATTGAATCTGTAGACTGCCATTTTTACTATTTAACATTTGAATTTATATTTCAGTAAAAGCCTGTGTTTGACTGTACATGAATGAATTGAGAACTTTGTTTTTCACCTCATCTGTTTAGATTTTTATGTTGGATTTTTGGTTTTGTTCTTAACTGAGTAGTAAATAGCTGAACAAGTAAGGAGATAAATTCACAACATCAAAAACCCACCAATTCTTTCATGTAACTACTCTTTTGCAAAAACCTTGATTGATGGTATTGGCTCATCACAGGTTTCACATAATTACGGATAGAGAGAATAATACTGGGTGGATGGATGGATGGATTGATGAATGGATGGACGGACTGATAGATGGGTGGGTGGTTCCTGATTCATACTAGGTTAGTTTGACAGAAGTCATACAGGAGAGGCTAAGGGATTAGGATTCAAGACTCCCAGCTCATGATGGAGAGAAAGAACAGACACAATAGACGAAAAGGAGGGTAAAAGTGGAAGACATCAGAGACTTGAAGGGGTCAGTGTATAATCTGTCTGACAGAGGCTGTTCCTGGTCCAGGGAACATCCTTGGGGATGCATGTCCAAAGAAGGGCATGTTTAAGAAGGTTCAGAAGTGCTAGGAACTGTTCGGTTATTAGGGCCTTGTGTGTGTGTGTTTTTTTTTATTCTATTCCAAGTAGGAATTAGATTAATCTGAATTGTGGAGGTTTTGTTCTATATTCCATGGGACCAAGGGGAATTTCTCTTGTAAAATTAAATGAAACATGAAACAGAAACACACTGAATAAAAAAAGGCATTTATAATTTTTGCCTTATTGTTTCCTTAACAAATGAGTGGCGATATTGCTTCAAGGTCAAGTGTGCCAGAATATATATTTTAGTATGCGATGGAAAAATACATACCCATCACGTGTATGGTGTCTAAGCTTCTCAGAATTTTTGCCCCAGGCTAGTTGTGAAACAACACTGGAAGTCTTATGTATAGCAAAATGTCAAGACATTCTGTTCCCTACTCCCAGCCCAAACACTTGCAATTCATAACCTGAACAAAAAAATTCACAGTAAATTTGGGCTTGACAGGCATGACATTATATTTATGAGTGGGTGGTTTTATTTATTATTTCTACTCATAAGGCAATTGTCCTTCAGTATCCAAGGGAGATTTGTTGTGGAACTCCTCATGGGTACCAAAACTGTGGATGGTCAAGACCCTTATGTAATATAATCTACATACGTTGCCCTGTATAATTATTTGTTGTATATTATTTATCATACCATAGATATTGTAAATTCTGCATGTAAAATGCTTTATGCTCTTTAGTCTAATAACAGAAAAGCATTTTTATATATATTGGATCTTCTTAAACATTTTCAGCAGGGGAGTGGTTGAATCCATGAGTGTAGAATCTACAGATACAAAGGGCTAACATGTTATCAGGCACCTGTGTGTTGGGTAGTGTACAGCGCTGCTTGTTAAAAGAATAGTAAACCATGGACTGCACTGTTGAAAGAAATTATGGAACTACTTTCTAGGAGGTAGAAAAATATGGTGATCTATATGTAATTACACACAGAGATAGCAGCATGAAATGCTGATCATCATACCTCATAACACAAGGGAGCTCGAAAAGAAACATTTTACAGCCCTCTCCCCTGCCGTTCCATTGAGCTACAAACCAGGAAGTCTTCTGAGGGTCCCACTGAAGCTCAAGGCCAATGCTGTGCACTTTCCGTCATCCAGCCCAGTCCCTTACACCTCAGTCTTCTCCCCTCTTCGAGAGCCCCCTGGAGCTAGCGCTGTGGTTGAAAAAGTCTCCTACATCCCACTACTCTGACTGCTTCCTCACCTGACCTGGTTGAAGTTTAGCTTTATCCTCTGAGGCCACTACTTCCCCTACCGCCTTCTGTGTTGCTTCTCACAGCTGGGGATCTGTGACAACTCCATTTTAAACCAGTTGTGACTAGTCCTCTCTCAAAACTCACAGGGAAGGAAAAGAAGTCTGAGAGATGGGTTGAGAGACACAGAGAGGCCCCTAACCATCTCATCAGTGATTGACACTCCATGAGTGTGGATAAGAACTGCAGCCAGTTGGGGCTGGAGAGATGGCTCAGAGGTTAAGAGCATTGCCTGCTCTTCCAAAGGTCCTGAGTTCAATTCCCAGCAACCACATGGTGGCTCACAACCATCTGTAATGGGGTCTGGTGCCCTCTTCTGGCCTGCAGACATACACACAGTACACACAGACATAATATTGTATACATAATAAATAAATATTTAAAAAAAAAAAAAGAACTGCAGCCAGAGGGTCGTGCCGTGGTGGCGCACACCTTCAACCCCAGCACTTGGGAGGCAGAGGCGGGGTGGGGGGACAGGAGGGGGTCTTTATGAGTTCAAGGCTAGCCTGGTCTACAAAGCAAGTTGTAAGATAGCCAGGGCTGTTACACAGAGAAACATTGTCTTAAAAAAAAAAAGAAAAAAAAAGAAAGGAAGAAATGAGAATGAGACTAGTCAGAATGAGACTAGGAGTTAGCACTTTGCAGTCTAAAAGTCACCTGCTGGCTGCACCTGACAGTGCCATATTTGCTAAATAAAAACTTCGATTTGTATAATTGAAATTCGCTGAGACTAAACCTCAAGTGTTTAGACCACATATATGACAGTAAATATGTCAGCTAGCCTCGTCATGGCAATTATTTCACAATTATTTCACAATATACACCAAGTTCAAACCATAAATGTTATGTATTTTAATACGGAGGTTTTTTGTTTTGCATCCACCAAGGCTGGTTTCTTAGTTTTCTAGCCTTCTGTAATCACAGCCATCTAGGGAGCTAGCTAAGAATGTAGATTCCTGAGCCTTGTCCCACAGGCCCTGATTGAAGTCATCTGTGAGACGGGCCTCCTGATCCACACTTTCATTGAGCTTTCCTAACTGTTCTTCTAATCCCGGAAGGTGGGGAACATCTCTACCAGGAGAACAGTGGCTTCATGGTGTGGCTTTTCTCAGCCTTGACTGTGTCTTGTTGGAGAATAACACGTGCATGTAGAGGAGTGGAATGATTCCAAGCCTCGGGATCTGGGGAGGGTGACAGTGGGCCTTGGAAGCTTCCAGACCCCGAGTGATTCTATTCACTACTGTGTTTGGGGTGAGTTTTCTGCTGGGATCTTGGACTCCCACGTTGCATGGAAGGCAGGACCTATCTCAGCCTTGTTGATGCTCCTGCGGTGGGCATGGTGGTTTGCGGGGAGCCCATGAGATGCAGTGAGGTTGAATGGGTAGACCATGACGCCCTTGGCCCTACACTCTCCATTTGCTTACATCATGGAGCAGGCAAAGGTCTACTTCTGGGAGTTGCTGATCCAGTCAGGTGACAAAAAGAATAGGAGGAAGGAGCCACATTACCCTCAGCTCTTGTCCTGAGCCTCCCCTGTATCCAGTTCCAATAGGATCCGCTCCAGGAGGTAATCACACATTTTTTTCCTCTGTCTTTCCCCGCCCTACAGGTTCGGAATCAATTGCCTCATCCAGTTTGAAGACTTTGCCAACGCCAATGCCTTCCGTCTGCTCAACAAATACCGCAACAAGTACTGCATGTTCAACGATGACATCCAAGGTACAGTCACCCACCTAACCAAGTCGCTGGGTAATAACACCTTCTCACAAGGTTCACCCACATGCCAAAAGCCGGGGCGGGAATCTCATCTCATAGCTGGTGTGCCGCCAGAACCTGTTTAAGGAACAATGCTAGTCTTGGAGTCTGCTTCCACTTGGCTGATTCTTAGCTCTGTGACCTTGAACGTGGCTGAGCTTTGGTGTGCGTAGGCACCAAATGGAAATCATTACTACTTCAGAGGTAGATAGGAACCGCATGGTTTCATATTTATAAGAAATTCTTCAGACTACTGTCAGTTATTAGCTACCTGAACTTGGAAAATCATTTTTCTGACTGTGGTTTTATCATCTCTTCTGAGATGGCAATAATTACATCAGGAAAGCATTGTAAAGATTTCAAGAGCCGGGACTGGGAGCCTGGAAGCTTCCGTGGGTACATGGCACTTGCTGCCACGCATGAAGACTAAGTTTGGATTCCACAGTCACATCAAAAGCCTACTGCACATGCGTGCAACTCCAGTGTGGCTGACACAGGAGGGTCACTGAGGGTTTCTGGCCTCCAGACCAGCTCCCATTTCAATGAGAGGCCCTGTTTCCATAAGATAAAGCACAAGTGATGCTCGGTGTCCTCCTCTGCTTCTAGGCACTCTGGCACCATGTACACCCCACACACGCGTGCACATACAACACACATACATGTACATGCTGAGAGAGAAAGATGGAGAGCTTATACACAGAAAATAGTGCTCCATGACTTATCATATCAAAACATCAATGTTCATAAGGATGGCTTTCTCTAGCCATATCTTGCTCGTAGACTTTCCAAACACAAGGTGCATTCATCAGAGAGCCATGACAAGTCCTTCCCTAAGCTTGGCTGGAAGTAATAGGCCTGAAAGGTACTGGCAACCGGAGACACAGAGCATTTCCCGAGTCAGTATAAAGCATCTTGGACACTATGTCCCTTGTCACCTGTTCAAGAGTCTTAGAAACCTTGCAGGAAGTTGCTTCTTGTTTTGGAGGTGCCTGTATCTGAAGCTGGAACAGGACAGAGGCTCCTCAGCAATGTTCTTATCTGACCCAGGAGTTCTCAGTAAGAATGGTTCATAGGTTTTTGTAAGGCCCGAGGGAAACCTTGATGGCTCCACATATCTTGTTACTTAACAGATGAAGTTTGTGAGCCACGCCCGTTAAACCAACAGTCCGCATCAGATGAAAAGAATGAACTGGTATGAACGGTCTCATGATTGAGTAAAAGTTGGCTGGCGTTCACACACCAGAAATGAGAACAACGAAGACAGCTAGGGGTATACTAGAGAGAACATAAGCCCAGCTTAAAGGTCATTGCTGAACATCTGTGGCACACTGATCCTATGAGATACTAGTGTCTGTATCTTCTGGATGAAGCCACAAAGAGAATAAGTAACTTGTCTACCCAGTGTTCAAATGAAAGTTGAGTTCAGGTTTCTGGACTCTAAATTCCACATTCATAACCACTTACCAAACTGCTCCAGGTTTAAAACCACAGAGCCAAGTGCCTCTGTTCTTTTGGTCCACATTAGAGAGTAACGGGAATATGATCAGTTATTTGTATTGATTTGTTGTAAATTGTCAATGAGTGGTAGTTATAGCACACTGTTAGAGAACTGAGGCCAAATATTAATTCAGGGCGTGGGGACAGAATGCCCAGAGAAGGGGAGACCCAGAGGGAAAACTCAGCTTCTCATACTGTCTCTCCAGCTCCCCAATACCTGGGCCTGCAATAGGCATTGGTGGGCTGTGCCAGCCGCACCCCAACAAGCCACGTACTCTCTAGCTTCGCAGTACAGCCCTGCAGTACAGAGAGCTGGCTGGAGGTGAAAAGACTTCTCTCACTACCTGTCGGTCAACTCACAACTCTCAACCAAACCTAACGGGCAAACGTGTCTGTGGCCCTGGAGGAAGCACCTGCTGACGAGTTCCCCCATGATTCCACTCACACGTGAGTCAGCAACAGGACGCCCGTGGTCAGAGTCCTCTGGGCTGCCAAGTGGAAAACAAGTCCATATGGTCAGCACACCTGGTACACAGGCTCCAGATGCTCAGACAGACAGACAGACAGACTTATAAACAGGTTATGATAGTCTCATAAACATGCACAGGAACACAGCAGGGCCCCGCTGTTTATCCACCTCCATCTCCCCCACGCTGATGCCAGAATGGTCCCCTAAGAGGGAAACAATGATTCACTATGCTATCCATCCCTTCGTGAGAAACTACACACCCTTTCCCTGAAACACATGTGCTGGGGAGCAAGACCTCTTCCCTGTCCTCCAATCGTGCCTTCAGTTTGTTTGGTTGGTTTTGGAGACAGAGTTTTAAATGGCCAGGAGTGATCTCAGCCTCCTATCCCTCTTGCCTCTACTTCCCCGGTGCTGGAGGTACAAGGAGTGTGCCACCACGTCCGGCTATTTCCCATCACCTTCACCTGTGGAATTCCTTTATCCTCTAAGACTCAGCTCAGTGGGTGACCTGCCCAGAGGTTGTCTGGTTTGGGTACCCACCCACGTGCTCTCCTCTGTCTGTTCTTACAGCAATCAGTTCTACATCATCATAACAAACAGCTGAGAAACACAGCTTAAAGAAGGCAGGGTTTGTTGTTGCTCACTTGCGGAGAGGTTTCAGCGCATGTGCATTGTGCCAGGGCCTGTGATGAGGCTGAGCATCTTGGCAGATGGGGCAGAGCTAGTTGCCTGATAGCAACAGGAAGTAGTGAGAAAAGAGCCAGAGGGTCTCGGGACCAGCTATATCCTGAAAATGCACGCCCCTGGCAACCATTCCCTCCAACCAGACCCCACTTTCTTATTCGCATCTCTTCCTAACAACACCCTAAAGTTCTGATTCCCTCAATGGACTGACTCATTGGTGAAGTCAGAACCCTCATGATCCAGTCCCCTCTCAATGACGGGATCTACCAGCATAGGCCATGATTTCAGCACGTGCTCCGTTGGAGGGAGCATCGTATCCAAACCATTTCACTCTAGATGACTCCATTGCCTTCTCTGCCTCTCACTAAATGATAAACGTCTGGAGTCAGGAACCATGGCTTACTTATTTTTGATCCCCAGTTCCCAGCACAATGATTGGCACATCGGATGCATGATACTCACACATAGAAACAACATTCCCACCATCACACCTCTTCCTGTAGAAATGACTTGCTGGCCTCTGCCTTGCAGCCCGTCACTCTCCTGATCATCATACATATGTCCATGTATGTATGATGCACATGCAAATATATGAAGTGCACATACAAACGTATGAAGTGCACATACAAATGTATGAGGTGCACATACAAATGCACCTCATAGGTGCTCATACTCAGATGTTAGACATGTATGCAAATATGTATAATTTCATATGCATGAACAATTTTTAAAATTTAATTCATTTGTTTGAGTTCATTGAGTTCTGAGTCCTATCTATAGACTCTCAGACAAAGCCAGCTGGAGAGTTTCTGTTTCTCACCAAAAAAAAAAAAAAAAAAAAAAATTGGGAGATAAATTTCCTATTCTTTTCTCAGAAATTAAGACGGAGGTCATGAATTGCAGATGTGCCCCTAGAACTAATCAAAATGGGAAGAGGTTGTCATGAAGATCCATCCACATCTTCCTTCGAGGGAAGACTTGTTGCCTCAGCTGATGCAGGCAGAGCCTCAGCAGCAGAAAGCGCTTACCCACAGTCCTGCCCTGCCGCAGGCTACCGTCCCCACTCCTGAAGAAATGTGTCTAATCGTTCCATCCCTGATCTGGCCTGAGCGCCTAGTGGTCTTAGTTGAGGCTTCACAGGCCACGCTGAGTCTCTATAGTGTTCTGTGCCTCTGTCCACACAAGCACAAGCTTGGACGGGCACAGTCCACCCCAGAAAGATGTAGTCACAGAATCTGCCTGTGGCCCACATACTGTGAAGACTGACTGGAGCCAGGCGGCCCCCACGAAAATGAGACTAGGTCTATGCTGTCCGCTTAAGCATAAGCCCTGCCTCCTATCCTCAGCGGAGCATGGAGAGATGGCACCACGGTCCTCAGGAGCCCCAGGCTGAGCTTCCTGTGGGCCCCAATGTGTGTGACATCAAGTACCTTATTTGTACTGTCTGAATCATAGACCCCACAGGGCCCACGGGGTTGAACTCCAGAGCCAGAGCACAGAGAGACTTCCTCCTGGTTGTCTCCTCCGTCCTCACCCCAGCTCTGGCCAGTAGAAATCCTCCACCCGGGCCAGGCTGGTTCTTGGCGCACAAAGCTGCCCATGCGCTGACTCATTGCTGGCAGCCTCTTCAGGAATCTTGGACCAGAGGAGGCTCAGGTGACTTTTGTTGTTTCAGCTGGGAACATCTCTGCTGTTGGGGGAGAAGAGAGAGACAGGGAAGGGCAATGGCTGTGGGGGTAGTTGTGCTGGGGAGAGACTAACTTTGACCTTGGGAAGGACAGCTTGAAGGAGAGGAATCAGGCACAGAGTGCTGCTGACCTAGTGACCTTGGGCCCTGATCTCCACTGCAAGCTAGCCACATAATATGACTGGGGGGACAAGAAACAATGGGTTCATCAACTCCAGAACCTACTGAACCCCACCAAACTTACCCGTGCCTCTAGTCCTCCTGCATCTTCAAGGATAGATAGCCAGACAAGATGCCTGTGTGCTATGCCAACCCTTCACAATTATGTTTTTGTTTGAGGTTTTTTTTTTGTCTGTTTGTTTATTTGTTCTTAAGACAGGGTCTTGCTGTGTAGCCCAGGCTAGCCTTGAACTTGAAGTGGTCTTCCTGCCTCCACTGCCTTCCTACTGCTTGGGATCGCAGAAGCGCATGCCCCTAAGCCTCGTACACTTTCTCACTTTCAAGCTTCTGCATCTGTCTCCCTACCCTCACTTGGCTGCTCTGTGGTTCTATCCAAGTAGTATATGGAGCATTCTTTACCTTTCCTCTGAAATGAACTAGCAACCATGACTAGGAATCAGTAAATAT